TTACATTTTTTACTACATTTGCATTTGTTAGTAATGCGATGTAAGCTCTCTATCTGACAAACTACTCTCTTATGATCGGGTAGATTTATATTACCATCAATATCACAATATGACTTAAGATTAAGTCTCGTAATAACAGCGTTCAAATAAGAGTGACGCGTGGATAATACTAGCAAATTTACATCATTAGGGATAGTCAAATTTTCAAGAATATATATTTTTCCTGTTTCCCAAGGTGACCCACATAAATATCGCCTTCATTGGGTAATTGTCTTACATACCTCTCCTCATATGTTTCTGTCGCTGTAAGAGGGTCATTATACTTGACCCAAGATGGTATCTTTACAAAAGCTTTTGGGAAACCCTGGCCTTTTAGTTCCCTTAAGGGAACCTGTGGTAAATTTTTATTTTTTTGTAAAATTTTTTTCACAATAGATGGGTCACATTCAAAAACTTCTCCAGGTTCATCACTACCTTGCTGGAAGCATTTACGATGAATTTCCCATTGTTAGCACATATATGACTAAACCACCGCTGATTCTTGTCATATATACATTTACATTGTGAACATTCTAGTGGAGCTTTCCGGTTAAAATATACAAAGTTTTCTGAGTCCTTTTCTTCAATAGTATAATCCCTAAGATAATTAGAATATTTTTGTAAAACAAGATCCGTGCATTTTTGTAGTATATCATGACCTATGATTAACTTTAGTGGACTATTATTTTTTTCTATGCTAAGCATTCTAGGTTTTACTTCGAGACCAAAATTAGAAGGTAGTTGAACCCTAGTGTGATCGAGTTCATTCCAGCCATTAGTTATCAAAGATAACAGGATATGCTTTACATGACCTTTTTTGCCGAACCGATTAGGCGAAGGTTAAAGTTTTGACCAGGTAATCCTCTATCAATAAACCTGCTGAATTTTTCACCTGTCAAGGTGTATACCAATTCTGTGAACGCTTTAAGCTCGTTATGGTCAATAAGAAGCGTCGGAGTGTATAAAAGATGGTAACTACATTTACTAGAGTCTAATGATGTAGCAATTACTAATCCTTTAAGAATGTCTTTCCAGTCACAGTCAAGAATTCGGTATAAGGCTCTTATGAAAGAGCAACAGATTCGGATGAATACACTGTCGGACTTAACTTCATTTACTTTCATATCTTCCTGTGTAGCATCGATATCGATTACAGCCCTTAAAGGTTTTTGCCCGTTAATACATTCGTGAATTCTAGGAAGACCATATACTTCTAAGATATCATCTACAACGGAAAATTTTGGGGCCCGATCGTCTTGATCGATTTTGATAACCAATTTATTTTCAACTTCATCCCAGTCATAGGCGTTATACAAGCAGGAGCCTTTTTCGTTCAGAAAGAGAAATGAATAGATTGGGAGATATTCCAATGACCCCTTTTCATCTGATATATCTCTAGGTGGTGATAGGAAAATTTTTCGAATGGCATGTAGCAAGTCCTTGAAAGAAAAATTATCATTAAACTTTTTCTGTCTTAAAGTATATGCCACATTAATCTTTTGCTCGTTTACATTTGGTGGTTGAACCAATGGAGTCTTAATAGTGCTGGTTGAAGTGCATGAAGCTTCTTCATTATCTGACTCATAATTAGACTTATAGTCATTATAATCATCTGACTCTAAGTCGGATCTATTATCAGTACAACTGCTTGAGTCACTTAAATATTCTTCAGGGCCAGCGCCATCGTAGCGGGCGAGAGTTCCAGTGCGATTGATTTGGTCAGAAATAGTTGTGGTATGCATGTCGTTAGTAAGTAAAACTTTATATACTCTAATATATTTATGAAATATTTAATTATTTTTTTGGTGGATGTAAAAAAGAAGTGTATAGTAGGTTAGCGAAAGAATCAGAAATAAACCCATTCTTAATAGGTGGTATTTAGGGTAGGTAAGTTCCAAATCTATTATAAAATATTGGAACTTACCTACCCTAATACTAGTATATACTCGGGCATGGGAGACCCCTCATTAACGCAAACCAGCTATATGATTTTACGCTTAATCAGAATCAATATATACTGCCTACTTATACCAACCATCAAGAAGAAAGGCATCCGGATGCATCCGGGTATGTGTATTCAGGTATCTTCTTCAGAAATATAAAAATATTGGTAGAAGCCTACTCTATTACTAGTATGTAGTCGGGTATAATATGACATTTAGGGTAGGCTTCTTCGGTATCTTTATATAAAATATTGGCAGAAGCCTAATAATCCCAAGAAAGATAACAAACGTGCCACTAGTGCTATATTTATTTCTTATAAATTTATTATCATATATGATGACATATGGTATCTTCCCAATCGAGGCGATGAGTTAGGCTTTTTTTTGATAGATGCAAAAAGAAGGGATAGTAAGATGGTAACGGGGCCAGGAATAAATGTATTCTTGATAGATGAGTACTTAGGGTATTCTTCTCCGTAATTATTTTATAAAAATTGGAAGAAGAATACCCTAACACTAGTATGTAGTCGGGTATAATATGACATTTAGAGTAGGTAACTTCGTAATCTATTATATAAATATTAGAACTTACTTACCCTAACTCTAGTATGTACTCGGACATTGGAGACCTTCATTAACGCAAACCAGCTATACAATTTTGGGCCTGATCAGAATCAATATATTCTGCCTATACTGACAATCGAAATTGGCATACTTATACCAACCATCAAAAAGAAAGGCAAACTGATATATATCAAAAAATGTAGGCTTCTCCATAATCATTATATAAATATTGGGAGAATCCTACACTTTTCTAGATATGTATTCGGGTATGTCATCTAGGATAGAACCTCTCAGGCATCCTGCCAGTTCCTTAACAGTTCCATGACGGATCTATGATGGTTCTATAACACTATCATAGCGCCATCGAGTTGCCAAGCTGAGTCCTAAAATCACATGCCCAAAAGATCGTCTAGAATTATGGCATAATGTCAGCCAAAATTAAACGTGAATTTACTGCACCATCTGACGCATTTTTTTATCACAATTTGGCATTTTAACAGGCAAACAAGTAGGCGCAAAAGGTAAGCACAATAATATAGAACTGAGAATTAAATCAGGCACAGAAGACCAGCACCCTCGACATACAACTAGGTATCCAAACACTTACGGAAGGCTAACAACCTTCAAAATAGAATTTGACATTCATTCAGGCGTAGGAGGTCAATACCAATCAGATATCTACAAGGCAATAAAAAGGCCATAAAGCAATGAAAACAAGCGGATAGCTACAAGGCAATAAAAAGGCCACAAAATACTAAAACAGTAACTAGGTAACATTATACTCATATCTAGATAACATTATAACGCAACTGGATAACACTCTTATAAGAGTGTTATCCAGTTCAAGTTTGTTACGTGAACAGGTCAATACTACTAACACGAATGCAGATGATGATAACGGTGATTTCATTAATAGTAATAAGAGCACAATTTCAAGATCACATTGGAAAGATACGTCATCATCAAGTTTAAAATCCTTAGAAAGTGTGGGTTCTAGCAGAGGAGATACAAAAATGATGGATGAAGTTAATAATCCTAGGTATAATAGATCACATACTCTACCTCATCAAATTTACTCTACATTAGAGAATCAAAATTTACTTATACGATTAAGAAATGAGAAATAGCGAGCAAAATCTACAATGTAGGTAAAACAGATGAAACGTGTTCATTAAAGTTAACGTATTATATTATTAATTAACTTTATTGGCCTAGGGAGTCCATTTGCTCGAACATAGTTGACACTACAAATAAAAACTTAATGGAAAGACTGCAATATCAAATGATCACCATTGGGAACCTGTCATAAATAATGTAACCAAATATATTAATGAAATAATTGAAAATGTGGGATTTTAAGGATTTGTCACTAGTTTATTTCTTTCTCTCATAATCTTACCACTTTCTTACTATATTTTTGAGCGATACCCGCAATTAATATAATAAATTTTTTCTATTATTTCTAATAATTACTTCCATGCAATATTCTATGTACAAAGATATTTTTTACCTCTTTGATCGATTCTTTTGTAAATTCCAACTTTTTTAGAAGTCAGTCCAGCTGATCTTTCATTTTTCTAAATAATTTGTGTTTATATAAGATTGGTTTTGAATTTTGAGGATCTTTATCAACATATGTTTTTGCACTAAAATATTCTATATCATCAACGCGAAAAATTATGTCTATTTTATGTTCAAAGGATTTTTTTCAGATTCTTCTCTAGTTAAATTATTGACATCAAAGACATTTCTTCACAGCTGAAATAATAAAAAAAAAGGATTTAAGAAACATTAAGTTAATTTAAATATTAAATAATTTATAATCTTACTGATATGCATAGATTTCTTCACATTAAAAAACAATCGTCAATTAGAGAAGCAAAAATATGACAATTTAACCATCCTTCAGAATTCTTATCTAAAAGTGGATTCCGAAAAATAATGATCTAGATAATAAAACCAATTTATTGTAGCCAGTCTTAATATAATAAAGCAAAAGAAATGAGAACTAATTAAATAAGAGATTTAACTCACAATTTATCAGCAAACTGGTGTATCTAATGCATCTCATAATGTTTACTGAAGGAATAAGTTTTACCAGATAGGATGAATGGAAGTAGAAGTTTATTCTGTATTAATTATTACACAATTGATTGAAATAATTTATCATTCAATAGGCCTCAATGGTAAGATATATGCCATGTATTATAATAATATTATTTTGTATATGAAATGTGCAAATATCAAATAGGAACAATATGGTCAAGTGTTCCAGATAGTCTTATGACCTTAAAAAAAATACTTTGTTTGAAGATATATCTTTACAGTAGCGGTCATAAGTATCCGACTGCCCGAGATCGTCCAAAATTATTATATAACTACCCCTTAAATTTTCCAGAAATATAATATAACACAATACATG